GCGGCGCCCCGAGGGCCACCATGCTCAGCGTAGTGCACTTCCTCCGGAGCTTCTTCAAGGTGAGAGGAGGCTTCCGCGGCCCCGCGATGGGCGCTGGGCAGCGTCTGGCCGCGCATGGGGAGAGCCGGCGTGATCCGCTGCGCCCAGGGCCAACTGCTGGGCACCGGGTGGGTGGGGGCACCTGGCCACCCCCAGCTTTCCGACGTGCCGACCGGGAGACCGAGAGTGTGGCCGCCCCAACCTCAGGGAGGGAAAGGTGCGGCATCGGGGGCTCCCGCCGGCCAGCCTCTGCCAGGGCAACAGACCGCCCGGTGCCCAGCCTCCCCGGCACCTAGTGGCCCTCGGCAGGCAGGGCGCTTGGCAGCCTAGGCCCCTGCAGGACCGTCAGTTCTGGGGAGGACGGCTTGTGCCTGACACCGTAGGTGCCCAGGAAGTGGTTGATATTATTATTACCTCCGTTGAGGGTACCCAAGAGTACTAAGGGAGGGTGCCAAGGAGGTTGGGGCACCATTTTGAGGAAGATGTATCTAAGCAGGAGGAGGGGAACAGGAACCTGAGAGAGTGTTAGACTTATGCCCAAGGTAGACCCTCCCCAGACCCAAAGTCTCTGACTATTCACAAGTGGCCGCGGTGATCCATTCATCTGGGGTACCTCTACCTCCCCTGCCCCCAACGGGAGTCCCCCGGTGAGCAGTAGTCTCCAGGGCACTATCAGAGAGGTAGCCCTCTGCAGATTGCCAAGCTCCACCTCCCTCGGTGAGCAAAGTGGGAGGTGGGTGGGAGGGAGGCAGGGTGGGGATGGCTTGACTGCCTGCCCAAGCAACTGCATACAAAAGAAGCAGGGAAGAGCTGCTAGAGTGACAGCCAGAGGAGTGGGCAGCTGTGAGTGGGGCCAGGCCAGACAGCGGGGCTGGCCACGGTGGGAGGTCCAGCTCTGCTTAGCTGTGAGGCCGCCTTCTCCTGGAAGTGCAGACTGAGCGGGCTCTGAGAGCTCTGGGGAAAGTGGCAAGAAGCTAGATGACCCAGAGCTGGGCCTGCATCCAGCTGCCCTGAGCCCGTTCCTCAGCCAGTGTGGAAGAGCAGCCTGTGGATGCTCACACCTTCAGGGATAATTACTTGGTTACAAACATCAGCAGAGGAGAGGGATGGAGTCTTTGAGGCTTGTAGGGTACTCACTTATGCGAGTGAGTGCAGGAGATGCCTTTGGAGAACACAGGAGCCTGGCTGGTGTCAGAGTGTGGCTCTGAGCACACAGGCACCCCCTTCTGAATTCTGAGTCTGCCTCTAACAGGGTATACAATCTTGGGACATAACCGCTTTGGTCTTTGTTTTCCCACTTCAAAAATGTGGATGATAATTCCCCACCTTCCAGGGCGGGTGAGAGGATCTTATTACAAAATGTCGTGTTTTTATAGAGGTGAGTCTGGGACCCTGTTCCTTCCCCATTTATGGTAGTGACAGCAGCAGGTCACCTGGGTAAGGGAAAGTTGGCCAGGCAGAGTCTGAGATGCCCTGCTGGCCACAGAAGGTCATGGAACAGGCAGGTGTAGATGGGGAAGCGGTCGTTGGGTAACTCAGGGCAACCCCCTTGCCCACCTACTGACTGGAGCCTCCTTGGAAGGGGGAATCTTTGGGAAGGTATTCTCAAGGGACACACTATCTCAAATCCCCAACCTGTTCCAGGAGGCTGTTCTACCCTTCCCTGTGCCCAGACCCCAGTGCTGGTCCTGAGATACCTCAGACCTCTTTCTCTGCACATACGGGGTGATTAGATGTACCTCTCAGAGGATCTCCCTTTCTGCTGTCCTTCAGAGCCACCCTTGGGAGGGGCCCTAATACCATCACAGTCTACTTCTGGCTGTGCAGGTGTATCTTGCAGAGCCACCTGTAAACACAGTTCACACATGTTCTTCCTCAGACACTGATCATAAAGAATGATCCAGGAGGCCACAGGTGCGGGAGGTGAAGGGAACCACCTGCTCAAATCACTTCCTGATCCCACCTGGGCCTGGGCCTGTATTGACCACTTGATGGGCACCTACTTCGTTGTTGATTGATCAAGAACACTGTGTTGTCCTAGGAAACTCAGCTCCTTGGATCCCACAGTCAGACCCTGGTAGCAGAGACACAGTCAGTCTCCACCAAAGCCCAGGCCAAGAGCAGCCCCTCAAAATCCAGGTCCCGGGTAAGACTTCTGTTGGGACTTGCTGCAGACTTTACAGTGTCTGGCTCTGCCGTGGGCACTCTCATGCTGTGGGGTCCACGGGGTGTGACAGAGCCCTCCACAGTACAGGTGGACCAGAGACCTTGTGCTTGCATGGGTCCCACATGAAGCTCACTGCCTTTAGGATCACCCAGGAAATGAGTGGTAATAACACACCCAAGGAGGAAATATGTTGCTTCAAAAATCCGAGGTCCACCAAGAATTGTGTATCTTCCTTTGTGGTAGGGGGCCAATGTCCAGCAACATGTCTTTTGCTTTTAAAGGGCTGTCCCAAAATGTTCCATACAACTGGGCACCTCTGCTGCCTGCCTGGAGCCTTCACTGAAGTGAAGGGTACCTGGTCACTTGCTGTTCTCCAAGTCCTGTCAGTACACAGCAGTAAACCAGCATGAGGTCCTTTGGGGTAGGAAGGTCAGGGTCTCTGCTAACTAAATGGTGGCACAAAATCAGGGAGTAGCTGAAACCCCAAAGCAGGATGGTGAATTATGTTAATGTCCCTGTCTTGGGTAAAGCAACCTACTTCTATTGATCCCTGAATGTTAAGACGGGAAACATACACACATACAGGCACCCACAGCACCCACAGGAACAGTTTTTACCAAATCATTGGCCAAGGAACATAATGGGTCTGTTCCATTTAAGAAGATCATATGTGGGACAGCACAGAACAGTTGCAATTACACCTGAAACAATTCACTGGCATTCTTCATGATCTCAAGTATTCTGCATAAGCCAAACTGGGAAGTTGAGTAGGAATGCAGGAGGGATCTCCACTCCTGGTTAGTGATTTCCTATTCAACAGAGATTATGTATTGCTTATGACGCCCTATTTTGGAGGGGAGAGGGTGTTCCAGAGGCTTCTGGTAAAGCTTTCATACCACAAAAGTCTCCATATCAGGGATGAAGGAATCAGAATGGAGTTTCTACCAGGAACTGAGCATGTCTCTGCCAACTGAACACCCAGGAGCTTGGGAAATCACCATCGGACAGATTCAGGATTCCAGTGGACTGCTATCAGGTTGGATGCACAGCAAGGCTCTGTTCATGACTTGACGTGCCTCTCACCTCTTATGGGCCCTCACTCATGGTGGTGAGCTGTAGTGGCATCCTGAGCCTCCAGGAATTAATATTAACTCTGAGCAAGTGTTCAGTAATCTCTGAAAGGTCTAGGTATTTCTCTGTATAGGGGCCTTCAGAAGGTTTACAGTATGCACTTAGGATGTTTTTGCAGGTAATTACCTTCCCTTCATTGAAGGAACTTTGGATCTATTGACTCAAGTTTGGGAATTAGGCAAGGGGTAGTGGAGTTTAATCAACGAACATTTATTAAACACCTACTATCTTCCAGACACTCTTCTAGGCACTTGTGGAGCCCTGTGTTAACCAGACCTAGTTTAATTTTTTTTTACATTTTTATTAATATTACACAGGTACAATAGGACTCAATTGGTTTTGCCCACCCATTTCAGTCCTGGCAGCCCCATGATTGATCAGTCAATGCCAAAGGGCTCCTGGCATCAAAACATTCTGATATTACTTCTCCTCCTTGTCATGTCACCTCCTGCTATCCCATCTGTAGAATTCCCCCCAAAGGTAGCATCTCTCATCAGCATTGCCAGCTGGTAGAGAAGAGTGTTATGGCAGTTTTCCAAGATGTTGACATTCTCCTTGCCAAAGTATTTTTTGGTTCCTTGAGGGGTAGGGTGTGTCTTTTTGGTCCTCTAGGGGACATAGTTAGAGGCTGCTCTTGATAAATCTATTCTAACACTCTATTCCTCCAGATATTTGGATTCCTTTAAGTAATTTCTGGCTTTCCTGTTTCATTTCGTGGGGTGGGGGGGCGGATTATCCAGCTGAGGTTTTAGTCAACCAACACATCACCTGCTGGAATACATCTCGGCTCTCCGAGCTAGTACAGAGCTAGTACACTGACTCTAGAATGGATGGGCACACCCATGTCGATGCATTCATCCTGACCCAGAATGATGTTCTTCCCACCTTGGTCAAATACTCTCAGAATCCATTTCCACCAATCTCCTCAGCTTCTTGCCAGTACATGTTAGCAGAGTCATAATTTTTTCAAACATGAGCCTTTTTCTCCATAGTTTGACTTTATAATTGGTTCCCATAGCCATGCTGAGATCTGACTCTACTTTGTTCTTGGGGCAGGGAAGGGGGCGGGGGTGGACATGAGGAGAGCTCATCTTACTTTACAGACCAGGTGGAAACAGGCTCTTGAAGCAGCCAGAGAGAGAAGCAAGGACTCAGTAAGTTTGTGAATCCTCCTCTGTTAGGGGTAACAGAGCCCCATTCCTAGAACCAGAAATCCCACCCTTTCTTAAATGATGCTCTAACTTTCACACAGGAGCAGGGAAGCAATCCAGTGGGCTTTATAATTCATCAGCCCACAGATGGATGTAATCAGATTGCTTTTGGTTTAGAGATGTCTCAAGCCTGTGGCTACAAAAGAGAAGAGACACTGCATATATGGTCATAGTGAGTCCCTGGGAATTCAGGGATTTGACTTTGTTACTCTCCCTTTAAGCTGACCAGAGCAGTTGGAAGAAATAAGCCCACCCCATAGTACTTGAATTCTTCATTCCTTTTTCTCAGGTTTTGTTGTAAGAGTCACTTTTCCCCTAAACCCTAGTGGACATTTGGCCATAGCTGATTTGATTAGGGGTTTGCCGTGCATGCCTAGTGGGATGCCAGAGTTCCATAACTTAATTCCCAATATATTTTCACTGCCTTTGGCCTTAATCAGGTGGAATAACCAATACAAGACACTCCCTTCCCCTTTCCTGATTGGTCTGTTATCTGAAATCATCTTGGTAC